CAAACAATAACAACAACATTTTACTTTTTAAACACATTTCATATTCGGGTCTGAGTGCTTTGCCTATACGCATGGATATGTACCACACGTGTGTCTGGTGGCCATGGAAGTCAGCAGCGGGCATTAGATCCCTCGGAACCGGGGTTATAGGTGCTTGTGAGCTGCCCTGTTGCCATGTGAGTGCTGGGAACCCCTGCAACAGCAACGAGTGCTCTTAACCGCCGAGCGATCTCTCCAGCCCCTTCTTTTAATTTTTAATTACATGTATATATCTGTGGGTGTGTGCAAGTGAGTGCAGGGCCTGTAGGGGCCGGAGGCATCAGATCCCCTGGAACAGGAGTTACAGGTGATTGTGAGCTGCCCTACCTAAGTGTTGGGAACCAAACTCAGATCCTCTGCAAGAACAATATGCACACTTAACCACTGAGCCAACTCAGCAGACTAAAAGCAAGAAAGCCCTCCATGAAATTTTACTACAAACAGGATAAAGTCCAAACTAGCACCCAGGCCTCTCACCCATGGCTGGAGTGCTCACCCAGTACAGTCTTCTCCTGGAGCTATGGGATACACCCTAAACTGCAAACAGGCTCGGCAGGCTTCGTCTTGAACTTGTCCTTCAGTCTATCTTCCAAGACTTCACCTGTGGCGAGGACTTTCCAGTTCCCCATCCGCTGCCCTAGAGTCAGCCTTCCTGCCAGCACCTGGAGGGTCCATCTGAGCTAGGTACAGTAAGGCTTGGCAGCTTTTCTCCGCTGCCCTGAGTGGTAAACTCCTCAAGGCAGATTCTATCATCCTCACAGAGGTCCTGGCTAACGGCCTCGCACACACAGATAGATAATGGATACTCCTAGAGTCAACTGTAGACAAAGCAGAGCATCATAGACTCAGGGAAATAGGAAGTTTTATTAGGATGTAATGGGGTAGATTTTAAGAAAAAGTAATGTGGGGTGAGAGCCATGGCTCAGAACTTACCGGCTGCTCTTGCAAAGGACCCGGATTCAGTTCCTAATCCCCACATGGTGTCTCACAACCACCTGTAACTCCAGTTCCAGAGAATTCAGTGCTCTCATCTGGTTTTTGAGGGCACTGGGCATACACGTGGTTGACGCACACACTTGAAGAGCCCACGCCCATAGACATAAACAACAGAATAAAACAAAAAAGAAACAGCAATTTTGAGACAGAAAAGGCAACTGATGACACCGTTGTCATTGCCATCGGCCCAGTCCACACTCACCGGCAGTCTGAAGAGTTCCCTTAACCTTTCAGAACCTCGGCTCAGTAAACACGAACAGAATTTCAGGATGAACCAGGATGAGCAGAGTGTGGATTTTTTAAAGTTGTTTTTGTAAAGATTTTTTTTTTTTTTTGAGACAGGGTTTCTCGAGATCTAGCTCTGTAGACCAGGCTGGCCTCGAACTCAGAGAGATCCGCCTGCCTCTGCCCCCTGAATACTGGGATTAAAGGCGTGCACCACCACTGCCCAATGGGTGTGGGCCTCTCTTAGTCTGATTTCTATTGCTGTAAAAAGATCATCATTCAAATAAGAAATTTTTTTTTTAAAAAAAGTAAAAACTAAAGATCATCATCAAAAGGAACTCAGGGAGGAAAGAGTTTACTTGGCTTACACGTCTAAGGGTACACTCCATCCTTGAGGAAAGTCAGGGCAGGAACTCAAGATAGGAACCTGGACACAAGAACTGATGCAGAAGCCAGGGAGGGGTACTGCTTACTGGCTTGTTTCCCATGAGTTGCTCCTCCAGGACCGCCTGACCAGGGGCAGTACCACCCACCATAGGTTGAGCCTTCCCACATCAGCCATCAATCAAGAAAGCGCCTTACAGACTCTTCTAAGGTCAAGCTGACGCTGGCAGTCTCTCAACTCAGCTTCCCTCTTCCCAGAAGCCCCTGGCTTGTGTCAAGTTTAAAAAACAAAACAGAACAAAAACTAAGGCAGAAAAAAGAAAAGAGGAGCTGGCCCTGGTGGTGTGAGCGTGGATGACTCAGATCTGAGGACCTGAGAGCAGGAGAACTGGCCCTGCTCCCTGCTGCAGGCCGCACTGGGCAGGGTAACTGAAGCAGTGCTGGAGAGCTTGTCCAGGTAGGAGCGATGAGGAAAAAGCTGGCGGGCTGACCAACCCAGCTACCACCCCAGAACTACGGCTAAGGGTTGGCCCACCCCAACATCCCCCTCATCTGTGAACTTTCGGAGCATGTGAAGGGGATGAACCTATAGATCCAAAACAGCAGGATCTCCATGACACAGGACAACAGGATAGCCAAGAGGAACCCCAGTGAGAGCCCATTATCGGTGGCATAGCAGAAACCAGAGACCTCGAGTCAGACCAAAGGCTTATGACAGTGAACACTTGCAAGTAAAGATGAATGGACTAAAGTAAGTGTAAACTGTGTGACTCAATGGGCCACACTACAGCTTCCGGGGCAAGATTCTTCTCTCTCTCTCTCTCTCTCTCTCTCTCTCTCTCTCTCTCTCTCTCTC